TCTGGATGCACCATAGATATTTGCGACAGCCGTCGGTGGATTATGCCTTTACAGTAATTCGTGATAGACGATAGCTCTCAGACAGCTTCGGGCGCCAGTTTAAGGTTGAGGTCATTTTTGCGAAGCACTTCCAAGGAGATGCTTATATATCCTTTTAAAAATACAGGTTAGGGATCGGTCTACCATAACCCATTACGAAGTCCTTCCGAGCGGTCCTACGAAAAAAGGGACGAAGGTCGGTCAAAACTTTTTACTCAACCTAATAGTAACACCTAACTTATTGTAGCGATACCGGTTACCGATAAAAGGGAATGGCTAGTGTTGCAGAAGTTACTTGAAATGCGCCATGTATCCTGCCACTTGATATTGTAGAGCAAGTTTGGGTGCACATGGTCTTTACAACAGAGGTTTCGGTCAATGGAAATTGAGCAGCAGCTATTTCGACTATTTTTTTTTATCTCTCCAACTGTTACATTATTAATGAATCCGTATTGGTCGAACAGGAAGGGATTGATCTACAAAAGCGTGCGGTTGCGAAAGCCCCATTTTTTCGCGATCCCAATGCGAATCCCTAAATGGAACTTTTGAGCTGGATGACTTTATAAAAAAAGGTTTTCTTGAGGTGAAGGACTTGTCAAAAATTCGAACATTTAGCTTGAAATCGTAAAGTTAAAGCAGTTCTCGTTCCAGTTTTGCCGTTACAATTTGGTATATGGATCGAGAAGAACGGCGAAAAGCCATTGAAAAACAAGCACAAGAAGCCGGAGAGTCAGATACGGCACAACGTGAAAATGAGCGTCCGGTAAGATGAACGTTTTTGATTTCCTTCTTTTTGCTACCCTTTCCCTACTCCTAGTCCTCCTCTCCCCACACACACCTCCCTTCCCACTACCGCCATGACCTCCTGATTTGGCGGCGATTGTTATGAAACGCTTTGAATCGTTTGTGCCAACAAATTGTTTTCGTCTTGTAATTCCCTGTCCTCAACTAATTTTAATCTTGGGTCTGCTGGGAACAAAGGGTAGCGCTGAGAGAGTTACATGCGTCTCGTCGCAGTCGGAATTATTTCATGTTACAGGCGTCCCTGGACTGGCTGAACCACCTACATTGTGGCTATCGCAGTCGTCTTTGGAATGATTTCTTGTTACAGGCAGCTTCACCGCCACCGATTCAACGTCTTGGAAAGGACCATATGCAAATGTTCCCAAGCACGTCGTCGGAACCGTCATTGGCTAATAAAGAACAATCTGATCGTGGTAATATTTTTATTACGTTAAATTATATAGATCGATGATAGATTTGATCCTGATCGCAATTTCGAATTCTCAGGGATTGATAAAATAATCTTTGTAGATGGCAATGGTAAAGCACCAGCTGCTCCTGAAACAAAAGCTGAAAAACCAGGAGTCACTGTAACAGCTCCTCAAGCCATAAGAGATCCGACAGCCGTACGGACTACCAGTAAGGATTCGACCAGTGACGATGAAGAAGGATCGCCTCCACGTCCGGCTGCACCTGCCGATTATGAGATTTAAGAAGTCATATCACTTAGCGTATCTCTAAGTCAGCTTCAAATCTTACTATAAACCGATGTGCTGACTATTTCCTAAACATAAGCGGGTCATTTCAGAAGCGCTTATTATTCAGAAATATTACAGAATACTACTACTTATCTTTCGTTGTGTTTTTTTTTAACTACTGCTGTATATAGAGATTAGACAAGAAAAAAAAGCTCCTTATTTCTATGGGTATATGAATGAACGTAGTGCCGATGGTTTGATGTTGTCAATGCAAAGCTCTATCCAAATGCTCTAGTAATTTGTGGTCCTTTTGGTTTGAATTTCTATTTTTCCCCTTCCGTTTAGAGTTATCGTAGAGATTTTTGGGCGTTACTTCATATTATTTTACAGTATCGCATTGTATTTATTGGTAGCGTTCCGTTGCCATTGCATTGCTACGTGTCGCTACCCTTATGTGTATATCAGCTGTGTTCTAATATGTCGATACTGGTTTTCAATGAACGAGTGCGCCAATCAATTTTATTTGTTCATCGTTGTTTTCAAAGAGATCCGGGGAAAAAGATACATTATGGATTTCAATAACAATACGTCACACATTGATTTGTTACATTTCCGATAGCTATTTTTCAATAACATGATTAAAAAGAGTAATGCTGTGCAAACGGAAGGGCTCGGGGATGAGGGGGTGGATTGGGCGCTGTGATGATATATAGTCTCTAAGAGATCTAGGGGAAGAGAAAATTACCGAAGAATGATTTTGTTGCTCAAGCTTCGAAACACGGTCCCATCCCACTCCAACAGCTGATAAATGGTCATAACCAAGCAGGAATAGAGCTGGAAGTCGAGTGCATGGCGCTCTCCAAAGAGGATAATTCAAGTGGTCGTCCTTCGTTTATAGGTGAAGCCATCACTACAGCAGAGACGGGTGAGCTGAGAAGTGAATAGAAACTACTGGAATCATAATTTTCTTCAGCAGTTCTAGCTAATTGGAGTTCAGAACTGAATTGCCTGGTTCTTAGCTTCTTTCATGAATTGACTTATGTATTTTACTTTGTGATTTTGGGAAATTTTTCCAAGGCTTTCGGGATTTTCAGAAGGAACAACGTACAAGTTAACATGAGTGTATGGATGTGGTAGGCTTTTCTTGGCCACTGGTTTCCACTACGAGAGACTCTAGTGCTTTGAACTCGTTATAGTCGAGAGTCGTGAGTCTCTATGTAGTGCTCACCCGTCGTTGGGCCTCCCAGGCAAAGTCCTAAGAGCAGTACCCCGGCCTGTTATGAACACTGGTCTCTTATACAGGTCAAGCTACCACTGTTGTCAAAGAGAAATCCACTGTCCCATACACATGTATGACGACCAAGCTCGCTACTGCTTAAGCTTCTACTCTGAAGAATCAGCAGCAAAAGAAAGAATCATCAGTCGTTCGTACAAAAAGGAACCATTGAAATATTACACATTCATCTCCACCACACTTGGGGTTTCTACTTTGCGAATGTTTTATTATGAGTGCATTAGAACAGCATTGTATTTACTATGCGATTCAGATTAAGCAACTTTCTGAATTTTACCATAATAATGTATAAATGTACAGGGAAATTCAGAATGGTCTCTCCGATTATGCGAACCTATGGAACTGAAGCAAGACGGCTACAATCCGGATCGTGCCAAGGTCTTCACATGTCGAAATGAGGTTGAGCAAAGAAGGAAGCGTCATAGGTGGCAATCCGAATGACCTGTGTTTTACAGCGAAAGGCTCTACAGGCTGAACAAAAGGGCAGCATTCAGTAAGGCATAGAAAAACGGGAAGTTGCCCACAAATTAGTCAATGTGGGTGAAATACCTCAGAAGCATTCATTTTTACATCTCCATGATAGATCCATTTTAGACTGCAACTTTATAACAAATGTGGAAGTGGATGGATATGAACAGCCCTTGTGTATTCATTTGTAGAGCCGTCTATATACATATTGATATTTTGGCAGATGCACTTATATACAAGATTCCCTTGCCAGAAAGAGGGAAATTGAGCTACCCACTTCGAAAATCCTCGCGAAGTGAGTTCATTTCCAATATTCTCAAGGGGTGTTCAGCCTGGAGCCCAAACTCATAGTCTGCGGAGAGCAGGAGCTTTGAATCGTTCTACATGGGGTTTGCCTTTCCTCTCAAAAACCCTTGCATGATGGAATTCTACTCCAAAATACTGCATGGGCTCTGATATGTATGCCCCTGATCCTTGTCATATTTTACGTCTTCAGTGTTTACAGCTCACTAATAAACAATTTTCAGAGGCAACAAAAGCTCCAGACCAGAAAACTACGGTCTATAGAGGAGTTAGTCATTAATTGATAGTTTTGATGGCATGGCTTCTGCTTCTTCTATCATTAGCAACATGTTTGCGAACCGAGGCACTCTTGCGGTAAGTACTGTGAGTACTGGACCCTTGAAAACCGACCTGACCAATTCAAGAATGACTGCTTCAGGGTGACGATGCATAGAGCGAACCTCACCCGACGCTGGCATAACGTCAAAGCAGTAAAGGACTACCTAACCCTGAGATATATGAAGAACAACAAACCAAGGCCCCGTTACTTTTTCAATGAAAAACTTTTTAATTCAATGAACGTGAGACCCATGGCTGTAAATAGACAACAGACTGGACAGGAATAATATTGGAGTTCCAGCTTCACTACTACGGTATCATCACGATTGGTACTCCTCCTCAGTCTTTCAAAGTGGTA